TAACTCAGCACCAAATCTCAATGAAAACAAAAGTGAAAGAAAAATTGGAAAATGTATCATGCACGCAGTTCTCAAAATACAAACAATACCCAGAAACAGTAAATGTAAAATAAAAAGTGAACAGGGAAATAAAAGTAGTTTTTGAATGCTAAGTGTGTGTGTGTTTACTAGACAAGTGAAACCATTTGTTTATTTAAATATCAGCATCTGTTCTGGTATTGTTTTGTGATTGATGCAGGGTATGTAGCATTCAAGCAACAACTCCAGTGAGGTGGTTATGTTCATCACATCACCAGATGTAATATATGACTTCAAGGAAACTGTTTTCTTCACACAATGGGGCAGATGCACCTAGGAACTAACAATGATCATGACAGCATGAACAAGACCTGCAAACCTTCCACCAAATAAATCCCAGCAGGAAGGATAGGATAGAGGCACAAAGTTCTACTGTTAGCCAAGGAACTAAAAGGTCTTTGATCAATCAATGCTGGGTGAATAAAAGTCAGTTTTCTTCACTAGAGTGGCACAATACTGGCCACTCCAATTAAACCCTACTTTCATTTTTTATTTTATTTTTATTTTTTAATATTAGTTACAGTTTATTAACTTTGTATCCCAGCTGTATCCCACTCCCTCATTCCCTCCCAGTCCCACCCTCCCTCCCTCTTCTCTTCCCTGCCCCTTTCCAAGTACACTGAATGGGGAGGACCTTCTCCCCTTTCATCTGACCCTGGTTTATCAAGTATCTTTTGGACTGGCTGCAAAGTCCTCCTCTGTGACCTAGCAGAGCTGCTCTTTCCTCAGGGGAGGAGGGAGTTCAAAGAGCCAGCCATTGAGTTCATGTGAGAAATAAACCCTGCTTTAAAGGAGATGTATGCCAAAACAAATTGGATCTCATAGATTTTTTTATCTTAATTTTTTAAATTTCTTTACAGAGAGTGAAAAATCCTGAAATTAGGTGGTTAGGTGGGTGAGACAAGGTCTGGAAGAAATTGGGGAAGGAGAACACATATGATCAAAGTTTATTGTATGATATCTTCAGAGAATAAGGGATACATTATTTTAAACATGAAATACAATAAAGGTTAAAAGTTGAAAGTTAAAAGAGAGAAAGAGAGAAGGAAATAAAACAGAAGGAACAAAGGAAGAAAGGAGGGAGGAAGGGAGGGAAGGAGGAAAGACAACCACATTCCACAGATGGAAATTATTACAATGGTAACATGAAGAGAAGTAAAACCTAGAAAACAATAGGACACATGCTTTGTCATTTTAACTTCTGGTGAGTTACAGAGAGAAATACACTCATGCTTCCATGTGTAATCAAAGAGCTATCTTAGCAACACTTGGAGTAAAACTTGAGCTTTAATGACCTCATAAGCACTTAATATTTAATTTCTCAAGAGTGTGTTTACAACCACTTCCAAAAGAAACAGTAATAGTCATAGCAAACACTTTTAGAAAGTTTACACTGGTTCTCTGCATAATATATGTATGTGTAATGACTAAATCTTATGGTATGTATTCCTTCATAACTTATGCAATACTTTAAATAGTATTATATCATTATATCATTCTACTATAGTCTCTAATAATAAAAGGCAGGAATGGAATAATTAATTAATTTCCTGGACTCAGGTTGCAAGCAGATCATAAAATCAGTTATTTGACTCTTGCTTATATGTTCAACCCATGTCCTATGTTGGTCTAGGGAAAAAATAAAGCATTCTCCTTAATTCCTATTCTATGTATGTGGTCTTTTCACAAATACACACAGGTCAGGGCTTAGGAAAGAATACCCTTATATGGACTGCCAGGTTTTGAATTTCAGGGGCCTTGCAAATTTTAAGTAGTACATAAGGACTGTAAAATCTGTAAGTGCTTTACTTTTCTTGTCATTCAAGTGAAATTAATAGTTAATTTATAAGAATAGTATGAATATTGAATATGATAATGTTTAAAAGATCTTTCATGTTGCAGTCTTACTTAGGTGTCAGAATACAGGGACACAGGCCTGGGTACTTTTCACTTAATACATGAGACATGCTAACTTCATATAAAGTGCTGATGGAAGATGTTTTCCTTGGAGGTAGATTGTGGACATCAGGTGCTCAGTGCCTCACTGGGTGCTTTTTGGGGAAATGCTGAGCTCATGTAGCTGGACTTGATGGAAAAAAATCTAAAGCATCCAGGGCTTCAGGGAATGTTCATCACTTTGGAATTGGAGAATGAGTATGCAGCATGCTAAAATGGAGCAGTTTGTGGCATTAGTTAGAAAATCTTGACACTTTACAAGTAGGTAATTTCAAAGAAAGAGAGGAACATGTTACAACATCACTATCTGCTCTGCATGTGTTATGATTTACCCCAAGACACCATTACACACACACACACACACACACACACACACACACACACACACACACACACATATATATATATAGCACAAAACTTACGATTCATTGTGCTGTGGATATAGAAAAAGAAGAGTACCTATGAGAGTACAGAGAAATATTTAAAGAAAAGGAAAACCATGCATATGGAAGAATGCTGCTGTGGCATTCAGAGGCATTCTATGAAAGGAATGTCTAAGCAAGCAGGATCACAGGTGAGAGGGTGGGGAACTACGAAAAATGAGGCCTTAAGAGATGTGTGGCTGCAGTGTCACAGTGCCTCAGCAAGGCTTGCAATCAGCAGCACACCTACAGGTGTTTTACTCTACCCTAAAATAATTTTTAAATCATTTGTTTTTTAATTAATTTTTTTAGTTTTTATGTTAATTACAGTTTATTCACTTTGTATCCCAGCTGTAGTCCCCTCCTTCTTCCCCTCTCAATCCCACCTTCCCTCCCTCATCTCCTGCCTTCCCCTCTCCAAGTCCACTGATAGGGGAGCTCTTCCTCCTTTCTATCTGATCCTAGCTTATCTGGTTTCAGCAGAACTGGCTGCATTGTCCTCCTCTGGGGCTTGGCAAGGCTGCTCCTCATCCAGAGGAGGCAACCAAAGAGCTAGCCACTGAGTTCAGGTCAGAGACAGTCCCTGTTCCCCTTACTAGGACATCCACTTGAAGACTGAGCTGCCATGGGCTACATCTGAGCAGGGGTTCTAGGTTATATCCATGAATGGTCCTTGGTTGGAGTATCAGTGTCAGAAAAGGCCCCTGCGGCCAGTTATTTTGGTTCTGTTCCTATGCTTGTGTAGCTCCTGTCCTCTCCAGGTCTTACTATCTCCCTCTTCTTTCCTAAGATTCCTTGCACGCTGCCCAAAGTTTGTTTATGAGTCTCATTATCTGCTTTTATACAAGGCTGGGTAGAGTCCTTCAGGGGCATTCTGTGGTAGGCTCCTGTCCTGTTTCCTGTTTTCTCCTTCTTCCAATGTCTGCCCCTTTTGCCTTTCTGAGTGAGGATAATCATCTTACCCTGGGTCCTCATTCTTGCTTAGCTTCTTTAGGTATACAGATTTTAGCATGTTTATCCTCTATTATATGTCTAGTATCTACTTATAAGTGAGTATATACCATGTGTGTTTCTGTTTCTGGGATACCTCACTCATGATGTATTTTTTTTAAATGTAGTACTGTTTATTTAACTTCAAAAACATTTCAGCAATCTAAACATACAAAAAAATAGCAGAATATTGCAAATTGCATTTAGGTAGAGAGGGTTCTTGAACTTCAATTGATGTAGCAGTTCTTAGCTTTTTTGACCATGAATTCTACAATTTCTTTAAACACAGTTTAAAATCTACTGCATTTAACTAAAGAAAAAAAAATCCAAATACTTTTCATGCCAGCTGAGCCCTCCCCCCTTTTCCACAAGAAAGAATGTCAGCAGAATGCTATGCCACTATATACAAAAACAAGACAACCTGAAGGTAAATGGATGAATGGATGCCCACTGCAGGATCAGCAGGTCCAGCCTCACAGTGCAGGCCCTGAGCTATGGCCCCCTCCAAAAGGCAGCTTCCCCTCACAGCCTCTACACCAAACACACATCAAGAATCTGTCTGGGTGGTTTTGTTCTGTTTACAAACTATAGACAGTTGACAACTCAGGATTTCTAGCCATAACCATATAGTTAACACTAACTTACAAGTCTACCACAAAAGGCATCTGAAAGACTCTACCTAGCAGTGTTTCAAAGCAGACACTAAGACTCATAACCAAACCCTCGGCAGAGTGCAGGGAATCATATGAAAGAAGGGAAGTTAGTATGATATGGAAAGGATAGGAGCTCTACAAGGACCAAATATATCTGGGCACAGGGTCTTTTCTGAGACTGAAACTCAACCAAGGACCATCTATGGATATAACCTAGAACTTCTGCTCGGATGTGGCCTGTGGTAGCTCAGTAACCAAGTAGTTTTCCAAAGTAAGGGGGACACGGACTATTTCTAACAGGATCTCAAGGGCAGGCTGTTTGACACCTCCCCCCAGGGGAGGAGCAGTCTGTTAGGCCACAGAGGAGAACTTTGCAGCCAGCCCTGAAGATACCTGATAAAACAGGGACAGATGAAAGGGGAGGAGGTCCTCCCCTATCAGGGGACTTGGAAAGGGGCAGGGAGGAGACCAGGGAGGGAGTGTGGGGTTGGGGAGGGAATGAGGGAGCGGGATACAGCTGGGACACAGAGTTAACAAAATGTAACTAAAAAGAAAAAATAAAAAAAAAATAAAAAAAATAAAAAAAAAAAGAAAGAAAAAAAAAAAAAAAACACTAACTTACAAGTTGAAAACAAAATGCCAGAAACATCTTCAAATGCCTTATCACACCAACAGCAAAGTGCACAGAATGAGGAGAACACCAGAGTGCTTTTTCATTTTAGAAATGTTTGGAGCTATGTACAACTTTGATAGTGTCAAGACGCTCCAGACACCCATGGCCGCTTCATGTAAACCATTGACACTTTGAGAAACTACATGATCTTGATTGAATTTTGTAATTAAACCTAACAAGGGCAATAGATGCAGCTCAAATAAGAGATGTGCCAATCATGGTGCTCTCCTACTCCAAAGTATTCACAAGGAGACAACGTTTGTGTTCATCTTCCTCTTCCTCCTCCTCTTCTTCCACCTTTTTCCAGGCAACTCTAGCAGGACCTGTGGCACCACCAAACTTTCCTTTAAACTTATAGTCAGCAACGTCCTTCTCATATTTCTTCAGCTTTGCTGTCTTGGTAATATAAGGCTGCCTTTCACTGTCACTTAAGTTATTCCACATCTCACTCAGCTTTTTTGCCACATCTCCAATGGAGATGCCAGGATTTGCAGATTTGATCTTGGGGCGGAATTCAGAGCTGAATAAGAAAAATCCAGTCTCAGAAAACACCCCTGTTCCCAGATGTATTTGGTCCTTGTGAAGTTCCTTTCCATGTCATACTAACTCTCCCTTCTTTCATATGATTCTCTGCACTCTACCAAAGGTTTGTTTATAAGTCTTAGTATCTGCTTTGATACACTGCTAGGTAGAGTCTTTCAGAGGCCCTCTGTGGTAGCCTCCTGTCCTGTTACTTGTTTTCTCCTACATCCAATGCACATCCCATTTGTCTTTCTAAATGAGGGTTGATCATTTTACCCCAGGTCCTCTTTTTTGTTTATCTTTTTAGGTATATAGATTTCATTATGTTTATCATATCTTATAGGTCTATATATAGGTCTATATATCTGTGTCTTTCTCCTTCTGGGATACTTCACTCAGAATGATCTTTTCTAGATTCCACCATTTGCCTGCAAATTTCTTGATTTCCTAATTTTTGAATGCTGAGTAGTATTCCATTGCCACCAAGGACCATGTATGGATATAACCTAGAATTTCTGCTCAGATGTAGCCTGTGGTAGCTCAGTAACCAATTGGTTTCCCATAGTAAGGGGAACAGGGACTATTTCTGACAGGAACTCAATGGCAAGCTCTTTGACTTCCCCACCATCCGAGAGAGGAGCAGTCCTGCTAGGCCACAGAGGAGGACTTTGAAGCCAGTCCTGAAGATACCTGATAAAACAGGGTCAGATGTAAGGGGAGGAGGTCCTCCCCAATCAGTGGACTTGGAAAGGGCAGGGAGAAGATGAGGGAGGGTGGGATTGGGAGGGATTGAGGGAGCAAGATAGAGGTGGGATACAGAGTTGATAAAGTGTAACTAATAATAAAAATTAAAAAAATATTACATCATAAAAATGTAAAAAAAAGAAAGCTGAGTATTATACCATCGTGTAAGTGTATACATCTGAGTTGTTTCAGATTCTGACTGTTTCAAATAAAAGCTGCTCTGAACATGGTTGAGCAAAAGAAAAAAAAAAAAGAAAGAAAAAAAAAAAAAGAAAAATCCAGATCCAGATGGAGGTCTTTTGGGGACATTAAAGTCCTTCTTCTTCTTACCTCCTTTAGCTGGTCCATAATCCTTCATTTCCCCAACATAGCGTACTTTGTCCACCTTTGCCATTTCATCAAACTTCGATTTCTCTTTGCTAAACATTGTCTTCCACCTCTCAGATCACTTCTTGGAAAACTCAGCAAAATTGACTGGGACCTCTGGATTTTTCTTCTTATATTCTTCCTTGCATATCTGTGGCACTCTAGCAGCTATATTATACATTCTCTGAAAAGTTCCCAGAATTCCAAATGTTACACATTCGAAGAAATTATCTGCAGCTGGCAAGACCAGGCTTCTGCTAGAGCACAAGGCAAACCATAGTCAGCGGCTGCAAACAGTTCAAAGCAGCCCCACATCCGCACACATATAAAAATAGTTATACATCCAGTTTCTTTCTTTTATAGGGTCACAATCTGAAACCCAGTGAGATAGTGTACTTCCCTGTTGTTGCTTTTATCCATAATCCCATGGTAATCACTTATATTCTTCACTTGGGCCTTTTCACAGCATTCTTAGAGTCTTTTCTCCTCACCCACATGGTTCTTTCTCCACCTAACCCATCACGGTGTCCTCCTTTCTCCTCTCTTCCCATCCCAGGATGATCTTTTCTATATCTAACCATTTGCCTGCAAATTTCATGATTTTCTTGTTTTTAATTGCTGAGTAGTATTCCATTATGTAAATGTGCCACAATTTCTGTATCTATTTTTCAACTGAGGGACATCTGGGTTGTTTCCAGGTTCAGGCTATTACACATAAAGCTGCTACAAACATGGTTGAACAAATGTCCTTGTTGTGCACTTGAGCATCTTTTGGATATATGCCTAGGAGCATTATAGCTGGATCTTGAGGAAGTGCTTTTCCTAATTGTCTGAGAAAGCGTCAGATTGATTTCTGGAGTGGTTGTACAAATTTACATTCCCACCAGCAATGGAGGAGGCTTCCCCTTTCTCCACAACCTCTCCAGCATGTGTTGTCACTTGAGTTTTTGACCTTAACCATTCTGATGAATGTGAGGTGAAATCTTAGGGTCATTTTGATTTGCTTTTCCCTGATGACTAAGGATGTTGAACATTTCTTTAAGTGTTGCTCTGCCATTCCATATTCCTCTGAAGAGAATTCTCTGTGTAGCTCCATACCCCATTTTTAATTGGATTACTTGATTTGTTGCTGTTTAACTTCTTGAGTTCTTTATACAATTCTGGATATTAGCCCTCTCTCAGGTATAGGGTTGGTGAAGATCCTTTCCCAGTCTGTAGGCTGTCATTTTGTTCTGAAGACAGTGTCCTTTGCTTTACAGAAGCTTTTCAGTTTCATGAGGTTCCGTTTATTGATTGTTGCTCTTAGAGCCTGTGCTGTTGGTGTTCTGTTCAGGAAGTTGTCACCTGTGCCAATGAGTTCTAGGCTCTTCCCCACTGTTTCTTCCAAATGATTTAGTGTGTCTGGTCTTATGTTGAGGCTTTTGATCCACTTGAACTTTAGTTTTGTGCAGGGTGATAAATATGGATCTATTTTCATTTTTCTGCATGTAGACATCCAGTTTGACCAGTACCATTTGTTGAAGAAGCTGTTTTTTTTTTTGCCCTTGAAAGGTTTTGGCTTCCTTGTCAAAAATCATGTATCCATAGGTGTGTGGGTTTTTTTTCTGGATCTTCAATTTAATTCCATTGATCCACCATTCTGTTTCTATGCCAGTACAATGTGTTTTATATTATTATTGCTCTGTAGTCCAGTTTGAGATCAGGTATGGAGATACCTCAAGAAGATTGGTTGTGTTACAGGATTGTTTTAGCAATTCTAGATTTTTTGTTTTTCCATATGAAGTAGAAAATTTTTCTTTCAAGTTCTGTAAAGAATCGTTAAATCATTTATTTTATTCTATTTTTTAAAAATTGTAATCCTACCATTTCCAGGTGGAGTAAATCCTGCTGTTAAACAGCGCAGGAGTGGCTGTGCTTCCACAGGTTGCTGACCTGGCCATGCCTGGCCATGCCTGGAAACGGATGACACCACACAGGTCATGAGATAGGAGCCAATGAGGAAGAGCCACAACAATGGTCTCGAAACCAATGGATAGCTGGGCGGAGGTGTAAAAGGGCATCCTCTTCCTGAAAGAAATGGGTCAGCTGTTGAGACTTGCCTGGCTCCTCCAGTTTGTGCCATTGACTCAGATTGCTTAAAGTGAAATTAATGAATTTGAGAAATAAAGAATTAGATAAAGGCTATGAATATGTGACTGAAAACTTATGACTGACCGATCATTCAAGCCAGAGCCCATTTAAAAAAAGAATTATCTTCAGTAACTATCAACCTTGATGGGAAGCCGCCGTTAATTTATTTTAAAATTAGATAACATGGCAGCACAGTGATCATTTTTTCCCGAGAGTTTTCGAATGATGGGTAATATTTGTTGGAGAGATGGTGAGAAATTTAAAATGGTGGCTGCGCCATAAGCTGTGAAGATGTATCAGGTGTTTTTAGTTTTAGGTTCATGGACCCTAGAGCCCATCTTCTTCTAAAGTTTTATATAAAATATTGTGTGGAGATGTGATTGGCAGTGTACACTTGTGAAGAAATATTTGTTATCATTTTAATCAGATTTACAGTCTGAGTTGAAAATAAAGAATTTTCAGTGATTTTTTTGTCAAAATAATTCAGAAACAGGCAGTTGCATATTACTGTGAAAACTGTGAAAGTGCTTCAAGAAAGGACCATGCTCTGTTCACCTCCAGTTTGTAATACTTTGATCAAAACATGCAGCTGAAGGCTATAAAATTATAATAAGATCTTTTAGGTAAACACATTTTTAATTCAAATGTGCTATTTTTTATTTGATAGATACATTGACAGTTAAAAGTTTATCCTTAGAAGCACATATAGCTCAAATATGTTTGTCTCCTACATTTCATGCATTTGAAACACAGGTCACATTACCTCATTTAATTTCTCTTAAGCTGTGTATTATCCTTTTAAAAATTATTTCTTTTATTTTTTTTAGGTGAACAGATTTTTAAACTAAACAGACAAGATGGGATCAATTGACTAACCTTGATTATTCGATTTTTGTATCTCTAGGAAAGCCTGTTCTAGGAAAGCTGAGTTCAGGTTTTTCCAGCATCACCAAGGCAGGCTCAGCCTCACACCCTGTCTTCCTCAGCCTCCTTATTTCTGAGCTCACATACATGAGCCTATGTCCAGCTGATAGTTTACCTTTGGTGTACAATAAGAAGGAAGGTCATGACAATGAAAAACCAATAGAGAAAAATTTTGTTAACAATGGATGTGCCTCATTGGATGAAAATATTAATTTGTTACCAAGAAACATGATCTTGGAAAGTATTCACTGCCTATTCACGAAGCAGAAATATGGATTCTGGCATTTGTTTAAAAAAATCTGCTTCCAGATTATTTACTGTTGTAATAAACAAATGAAAAGTGATTTTTGAAATTGTTTAAAGCAAAAAAGCATTTTCCACAAAATATGAGACCTGCTTTTAATGACTGAATTATATGTTTAGTTTTAAGACTTATTTAAAGAAGAAAATTTTCTCCTTTGAAAACTAGCCAGTTATTTGTAGCATGTGCTGTATCAATTCGCATTTGAATTACTGGCCTCTTCATAAAGATAGGAAATTAGTTTTTAATGTATATTTAGAAGCATGAATTTTGCAAAGCATATTTGGCATAACTGTTAGGTGTTTATACTAAACAATTTATATATTTTTGAGCAAAGATGCTGTTCCCTGTACCATCCAGGCAAACAGTATTCAGTACATGAAATTGCTTGGATGTTTTACTAAGGGCCTATTAGCAGGTTCAATATGTCTTGTCTAGGTTCAATAGCACAATGCCATATAGGTTCAGAGAAGTTTAGACTCTTATTACCTTATTAAATGAACAGAAAATTTGCCTTATCTGCTCTGTGTGTGTGTGTGATTAAATTTTTCTTGTGGAAACATTGTATTTACCTCATTTTATTTCACAAGTCTAGAATAAAATCAAAGTTGCTTTGCATGTAATGTTTTCTTGTAAAGTAATATTATTACTCCATCAGCACTCAGTGGGCAAACATATTTTTCAACATTCTTCTTTTAATTAACTTGTCTTACAAACAAAGGCTACCAGATGAACACAATTTATCCACAGCATGTATTTTCAGCTAGGAGGCAGATAATTATTGCTCACTGCAGAAATAATGTTCTCCTACTTGCTCATGTAAAACAAACTTCAAATGTCATTTTGTGCAATAAAGATTATGCAGCGCAGAGCTGACTTAAGAGAAGACAATTACCCAGAGGAACTTCTCATTAGCCTGAAGGTCAGGGGTGAGACATGATCGCCAGCTCCTGCTAATGCAAACCTAAATTGCCCTACTCTAGATGTAATGCCCTCATAATAATACAAGTGGGGGCAGTAAAGACTAAGCAGTTATTGTGAGGCATCTCTACGCGGAACTGTACATTATGGGAACTGGCTTGGTACCTGCCACCTTGCCACCTGTGTCTGGGGATCAGAGCATGTTGCTTGAAGCACAGAGACTCTTGGAGGCAAATGCCGCCTTTAATAAAGTACCAGCTGCTTGGCGACATTTAAATGTATTGTTTCAATTAATCACAGCAATTGTAGTGCGATCCTTAAGCATAAAAGGTAAAATTGCATATTCAAACAGAACATCTCAAGCCTTCCAAACACTCAACTTTATAAGGGAGTTTGGGGATATATATGACATTACAGAAGCCCTTATGGAAATCATGCTTGTAAGTTTTAAATTAATTTCCTAACCTGTATAATTCTTAAGCCTTTTACACTATCCACTTTTTTTAAACTGACAATCTATCTCTGCTCTAAAGTATAGAAAATTATTAGGTTTTTACGTAAGGTTCAAGCAGGTAAGTAATGCAACAAACTGTGTTTGTTCTACTGTTCTAAACTGTAAAAGGAGACAGGGTACAGGAGCTCTACAAGGAGACCTACAGAGCAAAAATGATGGGCTCAGGGAATTCTATAGAGACTGATGAATCAACCAAGGACTATGCATGGAGAAGACCTAGATCCCCTGCTCAGATGTAGTCCATGGGTAGCTCAGTCTCCATGAGGGTTTACTAACAAGGGGAGCAGGGGCTGTCTCTCACAAGCATTCAGTGGACAACTCTTTACTCACCATACCATGGCAAGGTTGAATA